GGTAAATATAAAATATTCCATATGAGTTTTGCACTGTCAGCAGTTTCAGTACATGATAATCACATGTCAGATTTTTTTCCACTGAACGACTTAACGTACTTAGAGCTGTCAAGGTCTAAAGGAGGCAGCAATGCTAATTTTGACCTTTAGTGTGTCAAAGTGAAATTGTTGGAATTCTGACTGTCTTTAATCAGTGAAATACCTTTCTATGGTAACACTTTATATATTTGTTTAAATCTTCAGCAAAAATCCTAAATGTAGAACTTGGAAAGGTAAAATCATATGAGTTGAGAGCTTTTCAGACAGCTATTCACCTATTTCACTATGATCCTAGTAAAATACATGCTTCTGAAAAACTGTACAATGCTAGCTATGCTTTTTTAACCCCTTAATACCTAAGAGGTTGTCATACAGTATATTAACATCTGAGGTGTTTCATGGACTTCCTGATCATGTGATCACTGCGACTGTCTGTCACAGTGATCACGTGATTGGGAGCCTGTCCTACCGGCTCCCAATCATTAATCTGTGACCAGGAGACTGGGGGCACGCTCACAACAAAAAATGGGAATCAAACCACAATGCATATATTTTGAGGCCCACCTCCATATTGCCACATATATGCACATGGCTGGTGGAAAGGGCGTAAGTACACTGCACAAAGTGAATTAATCTGCACCATATAAATTACTACCGTAATTAGTAAAATGTGATGCGGATTCCAAGCATTCATAACATATGGCTCTAAACTGGCCAGGACTATGTTAAGAGTATTGATGAAAATTTGTTAAAAAAAGTTACCAGCAGAAAATTCTATACTTATATATACAAAGTTCCAGGATTCAGTTTACTGTTGTAAAATCATGTGATCTGTAATTGGCTGCACTGAACCATATCTAACTCCATCAAGCAGAGGTGACCTTGGCATTTGGCGGCAGCGGCGGGGTTGCTGGTGGTGCACACCAATCTCATGCGAGTCAAGCTTATAATGCCATTAAACATAAAATACAAATGCCTTAAAAATAAGATACTTGACATTTGTTCCTCTCACAAAGTGACAGACTCAGGAGTTAAATCTTAAAATCTTAAAAATGCATTCAAGCACCCTAACTATTAACAACAAGGTATCTTATTTGTCTATCACTTGGCTGTAGATCTTTGAATTGGTGCTGACACTGTCCTTCCTTCTGGAGGGTGGTTACTTTTGCTCCCCATGGTGCCTGTGTGTGTGTTGTAAAGTACCCACCACTCCAAGATCACTCCCTTAAAAGACTACAATCTCAATATAAATTAGCTAACTAAGTATGAGATTGTATTCCATTATCGGAGCTAGCATGACGTGGTGACTACTTTACAACACACACAGGGACCATGGGGAATAAAAGTAGCCACCCTCCAGAAGGAAGGACAGTATCAGCAGGAATTCAGAGATGATTTGAGGATCTACAGCTGAGTGATACACAAATAAGATACCGTACATTTTTGTTAATAGTTGAATTCATTTTTAAGATTTAACTCCTGAGTTTAGTGTCACTACCGGCAATAAACAATAAACGTATCCAGTTGTATATAATCCACCGAACCAATTTATCTTCCTTCCATCTGAACAAGACAGGTCATATAAATACCACAATCTGTTTAAGATGTACTCATCCACAGGTGGATTTTATTCACCCACTATGGTCTCTGTAATTTCTGATTTTTTGACTCAGGTTATTAACTAGTCGGCCTCTATACTGCAGCTTCCTAGTCCATGTACTCCTGAAATCTGCATATTTGGAATACTAGATGAAAACATGTGACCACATAATACCAGAATATTGTTCAGAATAACCCTATACATGGCCCATAAAGTAGGGATGCACAGATATCAAGGTCTCATACTTGGTACAAGTACAAGTACTGATACTTTTCCAGCTCCAGGAATAGACTAGAGAAAAAGTCACAAGTTAGCTGGCAGCTGTCATTTTTAAGGAGCATTGGCTACATGCATCCCTGTTTTAATGTATGATTTGTTTTATATACATATATATTAGGGATGCATTGATACCATTTTTCCAGACCAAGTACAAGTACCAATACTTGCCCAAGCTTTCACAGATACCAAATTACTGATACCTTTTTGTTTAGTGTCATGTGACATTTTTTTCTAAAACAATACAGACTAATGATTTCAGGACAGTCGTGGAGCACCACGGCCCATTTACACCTGCAACCGCTGCCACCCTGGTAGTTTTTGTGAAAATGCAAAGTATCGGCACTGGTATCTGAACTGGTATCTGTACCATAAAGTGATAACCATTAACCAGATGAACCCATCTCCTCCCGTTATAGCCCAATGGATATCATTGACTAATGTAATCCTTCTGTATGAAAAGGTCATCTATTATAACAGAGTTTTCCCTCTTAAATGACAGAAAATCTGGGATACGTGGAATAGATCTACATTATTTCACACCTCGGTGTCATACACCATTTACGTGTAAAAGAACTATGGTATAACTGTCTTATCCCCCCACTATCACCCCACCTTCTGCTTTTCTCTCCCTATTATACTCACAGTTTTATTTGCATTGTAGTTTAATGAAGACAATGTATGAATACTGTAACTGAGTTTCCTGACGTGACATCCAGATCTTGTATGACTTTCTATGAGCTCAATGAACAGTTTTTTTTAAACAATAAGATACTTAAAATATTCAAAATTACATTTTTGTGCGCATTGTTCCACTCAAACTTTCTGTGGTGATCAAAATAATAAAAGTTGATGTTGCCATGTAATAATACGCTCTGGTGCTCATGCATTTATTTCATATATGTAAAGGGAATCTGTCACTTTTACCTGGCTCAGTCTGGGTTATTTTCCTCCTTATGAAGTAGCCATCATTCAACCCCTGGTCTGATTTACTGAACAAGACATGCCTGGCCCAGAACCACAAACGCATTAGAAGGGCCTGAGAATTGCCTTTTATGGGGAAAATAGCATTTACTGAACTAGAAGTACCTGCACCAGAACCAGAATGCACCACAATGGTTTGAGATTTGCCTTTTACAGGGGGGAAAATAGCATTTACTGAACTAGACATACCTTCCCCAGAACCAGAATGCACCCCAAAGCTCTCAGATTTGCCTTTTACAGGGGCAAAATAGTGTTTACTGAACTAGACGTACCTGCCCCAGAACCAGAATGCACCCCAAAGGTCTGAGATTTGCCTTTTACTAGGGGGAAATAGCTGTTACTGAACTAGACGTACCTGTCTCAGAACTAGAATGCATCCAAAGGGTCTGAGATTTGTCTTTCGCAGGAGGGAAAAAGCATTTATTGAACCAGCTGTACCTGCCCCAGAACCAGAATGCTTCCAAAGGGTCTGAAATTTGCCTTTCACAGGCGGAAAATAGCGCTGTTTGACCCAGCTGGGCTTTCTAGTGACAGGATCCTTTTTACTTGTAGAAGTTAAATCATTTACTATACCTGATTGCAGGTGTTGATGTCTACTCCTCCTTTTAGGTATTCCAGTACTTTATCAACATTGCCTGATCGAGCAGCTTTCAGGAAGCTAGTATTGCTGTCCGACTGTAAAAAAAAAAAGAAGATGCATACATATTTAACCAAGGAGTTTAATGCAATTCCAACAAAACATGTATGTTTAATTTTTAGAAAACATCTGGTTTTAGGTGTCTTTCTAAATTTATTATTGTTATCACACTTTAGTTGTTTGCTTACTTGATTAGGAGATCATATCTCACATACGAAGTATTACTACTTGAAAACCCATGAAACTTTACAAGTTGACATCATCAATGTGTTTATAACTAGCCCTGTGCTGTGCATTCTTTCAAGTACAAGGGGCAAGGGGCTGCAAGGGTTAACTGCTCATTTTTTTTTTTAGGGGACTGGTGTAAATGATTTTTACTTGTCTGATCTCCACTCCCGCACGGTCCAAGATTGGAACCCGCAGCCTCTTCCGCCCTCCACTCAATGTTGTAAACCTACTGACAATACAATGCAGGGCCCATAGGCCTGCATTATATGTGTGGACCCCAAGGGACAGTCCACAAGCCAGAGCAGAGGGAGGACAAGGAGAGCACTGACTGCCAGTGGAGGTAAGTAAAAGTCCTTTACACAGATATCCTATACATCGAGCAGTTAGCCCTTGCAGTGCGGGGACACCCCCACTGCAAGGAGAATCTTTTAATTTCCCTGAAGATAGGATTTAATGTTCATCAAATATTCGTCGCATACCTCATTACATCTCACTGTAGTTTCTAAATTTTGACAAATTCTGCAAGGTTTGAACAGGAGTTAAGATAGCCATACAAAAGTAGATTTTCAGTCGGAAATTTTCGGAAAATTTCGGCCGATTTTAGCTCGAAAACCCCATCATGCATAGTCAAATGTCGATTTCGGAAATCGTTCATTAGTCATACTAACCAACCAATCTTTGATGAACTACGGAAATAATTTCCTTTTGCGCATGTGCTGTGTAGTTGCTACGATTTTGGACGAAAGAAAACCCCACTGATTCATCGATTTTCGTTAGGGCAGAGAAAAATGTTCCAACCTGACCATCAAAGAATTTCGATCACAATATCAAAAACGAAAATCGGTGATGTACCATCAACTGTTTTATTGTCGTTCGAAAGACCGTTGTGGTGAATTTAAAATGGGGTGTTTTGAATGTTTATCATGTTACTACAGCACGGGAGGTCAGACAGTACAGAAATCCACAGCTGCTGGTAATATAATAGTCCTGAGTAGGTCCTGCTGGATTATGCTAAAGGTTTCCCTGTCCTCTTGTCACTCATCATTGTGCTGGTGGTCTAAGAGGAAATACTGAGATATAATGACAGCATTTCAGTAATGATAGGCATCTTTGGTGAAGAAAGGGAGATGACTCCCATTGCTGTGTCTCACTTTGGTGATTTTCCTTCACTTCCTGTCTTGAGAGAAAGTAAGTGATCATCTATCCAGTTATCACAGCCAGAGGTGTGACAATTATAAGATTTCCCATCTATTCCTAATCCATCTCCTATCAGAGAGAGGGTGACTCTCTCGGATAGGGACACAGACATTAAACATCCTGTCCCGCAGGTCTATAGCTGCCTGTGTGCCTTGTTGGGCTTCTGGTATGTATCTGCACCTTTAAGGAGCAATGTGTTACATCCAGGCATACCTGCCTTTAGGCCTGGTTCACACCTGTGCGTATTGCATAAGCGCGTCACACGCGCGTTTTCGTCCCGGAGTTTGGTGCGTTTTCATGTGCGTTTTTAGTGCGTTTTTTTACATTAGAAACGCGCGTTGCACGCGCGTTTTGAAGCGTTTTGGAGCTATAGGTATGAAATTATAGGTATGAAATTAATTATTAATGTGTACTAATTTATGAATATAAATCAGTACATATCAATCACCAATTACAAATAAACACTGTCAGCTGGCGATTTGCTCATGCAGCGAGCTGTGATCGACAATCTGGGAGCTACACCGGTTTGTGGAACTACAAATAAGAGATCATAAATTGAATACAATTTGTGTTAAACCTCATAAAAAACCACACAAACTCATTGTTAAATTAGCTTAAAATTTTATATAAAAATAAACAGGCCATCTCAACATTCTCCTGCTCAACCGGATAGGAGAAGAAACTTAACACGGTGCCTTTACACAGACTTTTGAAGGCCAAATTTAGAGATTTTGATAGTTTGGGAGCGCAAAATTAGGCTCATCCACCTGCATGTCCTCCCTCATTCCACGTGTGGAATAGCCAGCCGGTTGTTGTGTGTGTTGTGACAGGCTGGTGGAGGGATAAATATAGGGGGAATGTGGGCGTGGGTGCCATGTTTCCTGGTGTTGCTGCATGGGTGTGTGTGTGTATGTATCAGAGGCATGTGTGTGCATGCGATGGACATGCTGAGGTGGTTGTCGAATGGGAGGGGCAGGTATGGGTGCAGTGTCATGCGGTTGTAAGTCTTCGGGGAGAATTAGGGAATCGACAAATCG